TACAGTTATAAAAGCACATATACTACAATATCTAAAATACACCATACATCAAAAAGATACGAAGTCATCATGGACGAAATGTGCTCATCCTGCAACGGCATAAAAGGGACAAGTTCTACCCTGTCCTTCTACAAGATGAGCACCAAGACAAGCTAGGGTATCATGGCGACACCATATGACCCCAGTTGTGAGCCATATTCCTGAGTGAACAGCAACATCTTCACTTGGTGCCTAAAAGTTCAGATAGATAGATAGATAGATAGATAGAGACACAAAGAGACATATACTTGCCAGTGTGGGGCAGCACTACAGAGCTGGTCTCCCAGTATTAACATTGCGGTCGTTTACCAGCATGTGGGGCAGGAGGGCAGCAGGGACATTGTGCCAGTGTGGGAGTGCTGTGTTAGAATTCCTGCTCCATGATTGCAGTCATGGGATTGTTGTCTATCACATGATGGTATATGTTTTGACTCCACAGAGTGGGAAGTGACATTGACAGGATGTTTGTGTTACTGTGTTCTGTGAAGTGGGACTATTGTCCTTAGTTCTTTTTTCTCTTTGCTGTCTGATGCTAGAAAGAGAGGGAGCCATGTTGCAGTGCTCCGTGTGTGTTTATATGTATATAAAGTAGATTAGCAATGCTGTGCAAACTCTGCGGATCCCTAAGTGTTCCGGTGTCAGTTGGCATCGGTCGCTGTGATGTTCAGGCTGAAGAAAGCTTATGAAGCTCCCGAACGATCAACCAGGAGGGAGAGAACATGCCAGTCGGGCATGTGTCTCTGCCAGGGTCCTACTCGAGTGTAGGCTGAACTCCTGACACGCTGATGAGAGTGTCGGATTGGGGAGACAGCACTACCATGCTCTGCCTTGCCCCCACACCATCTCAGCAAGTGGCGCCGTGAAGCTACAACTGGGAGTCTGGTGTCCCAGCACCAACCCACTAGCTACTCCTTTCTAGGTGTATAATTCACACTCACACCTGATAACCAAGGACAACACTTCAAGCATCTGACAAAGTGGACTCTAGCCCACAGAATTTGGGATGAATCTGTCTGTTTCCTGCCTACATCAATCTTAGATGCATTCATTCAAAGATCCACTCCGTCGTGTTTGTGCACTAACCTGTGAACATTTTTTTTAAAAAACTGTGCCTAGGAATTTGCATTTATTTATCTCAAAGTACTCATTTCCCCTATTTGTCTGAACGTGTGCTTTATTTTCCTTACATATTTTGATAGTTTGGTTTTTTCCTGAGCCAAGCACTGTATTGCGAACTGCAGAAAAGGGCAAAATCTGACAAGTTATCAGGCTCTCATTCATGTGTTAGTCTGGGAATTCGGTGTGAAAGGGGTTGGTTCGCTTCCAAATGCGGGTGAGAAAAAATGCTCTTCTATCCCTACAATAAAGCTTATGTCACAATGCATGTGCTGGTCTTCAAAGGTGTCCCTAGACTCGTCGCCGTTTTATCCGAGCAAGATAAGCCACATGCCACACTTCTCGTAACACCAGTATTTCTGACGGCCTGGGCAAGCCTGCTCCACCTGCCAATCACTCTAGCCAATCCCTCTAACCCTTTCCACGGCTTCTGCCACCCAGGCCTGGCTTCTCAAAGAGTTCATTTTCGGTCTGATGAACAGAATAATCCACACCTCTAGCCTGCAATGTCCTCAAGGTGGCAGCAGTTTACTGGCTTCGGCCACTCTTTAGGTAAGGAACAGAGGAAAGAAATGACTGCCTAGACCACTCAGGAATGTGAAAATCTCTGAAAACAGGAGGACGTATTCTCTCTCTATCCCCACCCTAAAAAAAGGGGTTATTGGTAACAAGCCGGGCATACAGATCTGTCCAAGCAGCATGTGTGCAGCTACCACAAAGCCGTAGAAGAAGAGAAATGCATACGATTCTACCAAATCGCTTCTTCCACAGCAAAGGCAGATGCTGGAAATAGTCCGACACAGACAGAGGAAACACTGGCGAAGGCTGAGCTAAGCTGGCATCAGTTCACTGTTCTGCTCACAGCGATCCTGCTTCTCTCTCTCTTTCTCTCTCATTGCCATGCTCATTACGGTGTCCCTGCAGGATGCCTGCTTCCTGCAATTGGAGCTAACAGCAATCCACTGCCAGCCTTACTTCCCTGGGGCTGAGAGAGGACTGGAAGCCGCTCCTAAGCCCTGAAGCAGCGGTAGGTTTCTTGGAGGAGAGAGAGGACGAAGGAAATCTGGGGTGGTGGACGGTGGGGCTTGCACAGCAGTTATATCATCGTCCGTGCCAGTCCGTTAGGCAGTCGCAAGCTGGATCCCGTAAAGTGAATGTCACCCATTCCTCCCTGCTGAGCTTCAATCCCCCCCTCCATGGAAATAACCTGAAGGCCGAAAATAAGCACAACAGGAACGGGCTGAGCCTCCCAGCATCCCTCTGAGCTCAGCTGAAGCAGCCACAACTTCGCTTGCAAGCTGAGCAAGCCCTCCCTCTCGGATGGCAGTCCCTCTCCCTCACAAGCATCTCTAAGCAAGACTTACCCCCGGCAACACTGAAGGAATGGCAGGCAGGGGGATTAAGAAAGAGAAGGGGCTTCGGCAAACATGCCAAATGTCAGCACTGAATTAAGCACTGCCAAAAAAGAAAATGAGCCAATGTGCTGTTGATAAAGTACCACAACACTTTGAAAAACAGGTTTTTTTAACCCCTTCCCCTTTATTACCTGGGAGGGAGGGGCGGGCGGTTCAGCCATGATCAGCGTTACCTGTCTGAGCTTATGTGTTTCCTCTTCTCTGGCACTGTAGTTTGCCCAAACCAGTAAACTGTGGTTTGTCCCAATGAGAAAAGGTTGGGGGGGGGGAGAATAGCTACATGTGGGAAAGTGGATGTGCCCAAAGTCATTCTCATTTGTTAACAGAAATTTGGAGGAAGTGGGTTTGTTGCCCAAGATCTTCCATACACATGCACACACACACACCCGTTTATTGAACATATTTCACAAATTTATACAACAACCTACTATATTACCGTTTGTATCCCATCCCATACTAGGAAAAAGAAAATTTAAAAATACAAAAAAACTGTAAAACATAAAAGGACCTAAAATAGCCTTCCAATTGTTCTCAAAGAAACTAGATCATACTTGTTATATCTTACACAGTATCATATTAATTCCTGAAATAATATAAAAGAAACAAAACAGGACAAAGATTGAATAGAAACATTTGTTTTAAATATATTATCTATACATTGCAAGACTCATTCAAGATCTGCTAGGAGGTTTTTGCTATTACAGTAATTCTTCAGGTATTCCTTAAATATAATCCATTCTTGGTTTACTTTTTGCGTTGAGTATCCTCTTAGCCTCCCCGTCATTTTTGCCATTTGCAGATATTCTAGCAATTTAACTTGCAATTTAACTTGCTCAATATCTCTGTGCACCCCAAATTTCCCAGTACAGTATGTGATTGAATCACACCCCAAAATAGCGGAAGTCTGGAAGCATCCCTTATTTCCTTTATATTTTTCCTGCCTTTTAAAGGTGTTCTCTCCACCCTTTCTATGCTGTTTCAGAGCAACTAGAAGGAGAATTTTATTTTGCATAATTAAAAACTAAAATCCTAGCTGCATGTCTCTCTCTCCCCGCCCGCTCCTCCAGCTGATCGTAACAAAAACCCTCAAAGGGTTCCCAGGAAAGCCATTTGAAAACCCTGATGTTAAGTAATCAGAGTTAAGACTGACAATCATAATCCTGATTTAGTTTGACACATTTGGAATATGGTGTCACCTGATTAGCAAGATAAAAGGTTTCAAGTCAAAGATAGCCTGCCCATGAGAGGATTATTATATCTCAAGTTATCTAACCCAAGTTAAAAATATAAACCAAAATTGGTGCGGAAATGCAGAACAGAGCCCTGGAACGCTTAAGCCGCCAAACTCAGAATGTTTTTTATTTTAAAAAAACTGTGATGTGGGACTCTCAAATCAGGTCCTTTTTCCTCACTGAAGGCACTCAAAGGGCTCTTCTAGCCGAGAGTCAAAAGTGGTGTTTTACAAGGACATTAGCATTTTGATAAGTAATGTAGACAAAGCACACTTGGGTATTTGGACATTATTAGTTACTTTATAGCCTGGATTTCTTACAGCATGAACAATAGCCAGTTAATAATTCATGTCAATGTGCAGTCTATAAAAGCATCTTCAATATAATCTTATCTTAGAATAGAGGATCAGCAACTAGCAGCCTACAGGATGAATCCTGCCCCCTGAGGAGTACTGCCTCTCTTGCCAAAATGCAAACTCTCTATCCCATTCTCCTTCTCGGCCATATGCCCTGCTTTATAGGGGACAGTTCCTCTAGCCAAAGCCAAGTCTGAGCCAAGTCTAGTTTAAACCTAAGAAGGAAGAACCTCAAATACTTAGAAAGAACCTGTACATTGGACTGAGCAAGCACTACCGGTCACCTCTAGCCAGTGCCTTCCCCACTATAGTGAAATGCCCCGTATTTCTACTTAAATTTTAGTAACTGGTTCTACATTTGTATCTATACACATAAAATGGCACAAGCAACTTTTAAGCAAATTGCAAATCCTCTTTTTGGGTGCTGCATAAGTTGAGCATCCTCCCCGCCCCTGCCAAATGTAGGTATGGTCCAAGGTGTCAATTTTTATTTCCATTATAAAGTTCAGTCCTCCACACTTCTGCATCGATCTGTGAATTAAGAGTTTGTGAAAATTCATAGCACTTTGGTGCGGATTCCTCCTCATATAAACAACTACCTGACACTTAGAAGACATCAGGGAAGTTTTTAATGTGTGACATTTTGATGTACAGTATTTTTTGCTCTATAGGATGCACTTTTCCCCCTCCAAAAATGAAGGGGAAATGTGTGTGCGTCCTATGGAGCGAATGCAGGCTTTCGCTGAAGCCTGGAGAGCGAGAGGGTCGGTGCGCACCGACCCTCTCACTCTCCAGGCTTCAGGCAGCTATCCGCAAGCTTTCGGAGCACGGCGGGAGTTCCCGCCGGGCTCCGAAGGCTTGCGGATAGCAGCCTGAAGCTTGAAGCTCGGGGAGCGCAGTGCCAACTCCCACTGCGCACCCCGGGCTTCAGGCAGCTATCCACAAGCCTTTGGAGCCCGGCAGGAGTTCCCGCCGGGCTCCGAAGGCTTGTGGATAGCAGCAAGCTATCCCCCCCCCCAAATTTAGGTGCGCCCTATGGTCCGGTGCGCCCTATAGAGCGAAAAATACGGTATTTTTAATCTTTGTTGGAAGCCACCCAGAGTGGCTGGGGAAACCCAGCCAGATGGGCGGGGTACAAATAATAAATTAGTATTAGTATTAGTATTATATGCACATTTATGCAATGCAATTTGCCCTGGAATGATGTGTCTTCGTACGTTTGCTTTTAAGCACACTTTACTCTAGTACATTCCTTGGCTGGAGAACCAGTGATGCAAAATTTGAAGAAGTGAGAATTTCAAAGGGTGGCTGGGTTTCAGTTCGGCTTCAAACTGAATCGAACGTCTCCCACTTCCCTACCCCATGTCACTGGAAATGCTCCAAGAGATTGGACCAAGTGAGAAACAGAGAGGCACAAGTTCTCCATCTTCTGCCTCTATCCCTCCAGCTGGAAAACTAACAAGGAGGAACCAGAAGAGCATATAGAGGAGGCGAATTTCTTTTGCACATCCCTGTCCCAGCCCATGTTCATTTCACACAGTGTGGAGGAGAGAGAGGAGAATGAAGGAAGAGGGTTGGCTATGCATATACCAAGTGGGCTCCCACTCAAGTGGGACTGCCAACTATGCCTCTAAAGTTTTGATAAGAAGAGAATTGACGCATTAAGCGTCTTAAGTGTAATCCTCAGGACTAAGCTGGGCAAAATGAAACCAGCATTCAAAGAACTCCAGATGCCAGTTAAGGTGCCATGGAAGACTTTAAGTGATAGGAGCTTAGGAGTTAAGACAATAAAAGGCACAGGTCCTTGCCCAGACACTTCGGACTTCTTCAGTGAAAAAGCAGCATGGCGGCATCAGAGGAGCATAGGAGACGTCTCATAAGCCAGACCACTGGCCCACGATGTGGTCAACATGTCAGCATGTCTCCAGGATTTCAAATAGGGTCTCTCCCAGCCCTGGGTGGTAACTGAACCGGGGATCCAGGAATACTTCTCCAATGAAATGAAAGGGAATGTTCAAGGAGCGGGAGCAGACACTGACTTACTCCTACTGCAAGACAAGGATGAGCAATCTGTGGCCCTCCAGGTGCTCTTGGGCTCCAAGTCCCATCAGCCCAAGCCAGCATGGCCAATGGTCAGGGATGATGGGAGTTGTAGTCTAACAACACACAGAGAGAAAGAAGAAACAGAATCAAGAGAGAAAAGTGAGTGACCACCATCTTTGGCTCTGGAACTGAGCAGATTACATCCCACACCTAAGAGAAGGCAGCTCTCTGCACCCCTAGTCTAGATGAATTAAGCTTCCTTCCCGCCCCCCACAACAGGCACCCTCCATGAGTTTTGTTTAATGCTTATTAAAACTAACTAGGCTACTGGCTATCACCACATCATGTGGCGTCGAATTCCATAATTACATGTTTTGAGAAGAATTCTTTTGTCTGCCACAAACTTAGTGTCAATCAATCTTACGGGGAGACCTCCAGTTCCAGAGTTACAAGAAAGAAAAACGGGGGGGGGGGGAGAGAAAGGACAAAACACCTCTCTCTATCAACTAACACGACACAGTGCATAATGCTATAAATGTCTTCCACGTGCCCTACTTAATCTTTTTGGGGGGAATAAGTAAATGATGCATCCTGCTGTTTTAAGTAAAACAGCTTGCGAAACACACACAAAAATCTTTTACGACAGCTATCCATATGTTGGAGGGAAGACTATGAGCATAAAGTAGCTATTTGATGAGAGACTGACTTTTGTAGCAAAGCCTAGTAGTGGAGGATCCTAATCAGAGGCATTATTTTTTTAAAAAAGAATTTATATCCCACCCTTCCTGCCAAACAAGCTCAGGGGACAACAAACATATCAGTGATGCAATTCAATTAAACATTAATAAAAACACTCAGGATAAGATGTAGGCTGTACCAGGTAGTCCCAGCATTTCCTGGGACATTTTTGGAACAAAGGAGCTCCTCTGGATCAGGCCAATGGCCCATCTAGTCCAGCATCTTCCTATCATAGTAGCCAACCAGATCATAGAATCACAGAAGTTGGAAGGGACACTGAGGATCATCTAGTCCGACCCGCTGCAATGCAGGAATATGCAGCTGTCCCAAACAAGGATCAAACCTGCAACCTTGGCATTATTAACACCACACTCTAACCCACTAAGCTATCCAGCGAGTTATCCCAGAGGCCTAGGAGAAACCAGCAAGCAGGACCCAAGCACAAGAACACTCTCCCATCCCATCGTATCCAGCAACTGGCATTCAGAAGCATTGCTGCCTCCAAAGCCACTTCCGCCCTGCAGAGGAGGTGGGTGGGATTGCGAGCTTCACGAGCCCAGCCTCTGCGCGACTGGGGGAATTCCCGGTCGCATCACCCCCTGGCCAGCCAATCGGATGGCTCTGGGGGTGTGGCCTGCACTGTTTAAGGCAGGTGAAGCTGGGGATCTCCCTCTTTTGCCACTTACCAGCTGTTCCCATTTCCCACCCTCCTGCCCTACAAGGGTTTTCATTCCTTGAACTTGCTATGGACCTTGGTTGGTAGCCAATGAGGGGCCTGGTAGGAATTTTTCCACTTGGCAATATGGCACCAGCCACTTGGTTTTCGCCTGCCTCGTAGCAAATCGTCACAACTTTCTTGGTATTGGTGGCTAGGCACTGATATTGTTCTGTAGTTGGAAGACGGAAGGAAGCGCCATCACCTGCCCTGCATATTGAAGGGTAGTCCGATAAAGGATTCCGGGGGGTGTGGCCCTGTCTGAAGCCTATGGAGGTGAGGGCCTAAGGAACGCCCCCGAGCAGTGACCCCAGGGGAGTTCCTAGTTGATGTGCATCAGCAGGACTCCCCCTACTGGTGGTTAACCCTTCCCGGACTTCAAGCAGATGGGCTGAAGGCAGATATAGTCGGTTAGGACCAATGCCTAAGCCAATACTGCTCATCACCTCTTACCAATAAAGTTGTGGCCTTATTTAGCCAATTAAGCTTAATAATTGTGTCATGTGTCTTTATTTCCACTGGGGCGGGGAGGCAGAACATAACCATCATGGCTAGTAGCTATTGTCAACCTTATCCTCCTCTTTCTTTCTTTCTTTCTTTCTTTCTTTCTTTCGGGGAACTGGTGGAGGAAAGCCAAATATTTTATGATCTGTGTACCCTTAAGGAATACCTGTATGGAACAGACCTGAGATCCTCCTTTCGTTTGGTCAACTACACTTTGAAAACTACACTTTTCTCAACCTGATGGTGGAAAACGCTTCCTTTAATGAAGTCTGAAGGACACTGGTTTCAAAAGTAGATCAACTAAGGTCATCCATCACCAAACCGACTACAGCAGAGCAAGGTGGCTTCTATGCCTTCTTTCAGATGTGATATGCAGCAAGTTAGGAACTTTCATTCTTATGCACTTGAGAGTGAAGGTCAAATTTGCACGCTGTGAAATTCAAATATGGAAAATGGTTCTATATAGAACTTGACATGCCGCTCAACAGGGTCAATCAACGCACATTTTCAAAACATCCCCCAACCACCCCAACTGAGCGCACACATTGTGAAACTATCTGCACGATTTGCAGCACCTGAGGGTCAAAAGGCAGGTTGCCTGTTAATTCCTACCACAGAAGTGTTTTATGGAGAGCAATTTTAAAAAGTGTGCAGAATCCCTAGTGGGTTCATCTAGTGGGCTGCCTGACAAGCTTTGGAAATTAGGATATACTAAACCGCATGACTGGCCTTTCTCGGTTTTCGTGCAATCAAATAATAATTGTACTGTTTGTGCCGCCTGTACAGTATCATTTGTAATGTTTAATAAATACGATACATTCATACACCTCTAATTACCGGAGAGCTGAGGGAAGAAATGAGATGTAGCCACCTTGAAAATAAATCCAATACTCGGTCAGCTCCAAGTTAATAAGAGCGCTTGGTATTTAAATAGAAAGATTAAAAGCTGTGGAATAAACTATGAAGAGGGTGACTAATAAAGTTCTTTAAAACACCATTAATACAGCTTTATATTTTCGCCTCGTTAGTTCCTCTTGCACAAGGAAAGGTTAGAACAAAAACCCTCTGCTACTGACATGTGTGCCACATTACCAGTTTGCTAGTACGGAAAGGGAAAAATTCCAGTGCAATCCTAACCATGCCTACTCGGAAGCAAGACTGCCGCCATAGTATTTGAAGTCAAGCAAAGTAAGATATTTAAGGATTTCAGCCTGAGATCATGTTTTCCTTTTCCTGGAGCAGCTAAGTCATATCCCCCACCACCACCCGCAACTCATATTGGACTTCATTTGCATCCGAGCCCAAAAATCCCTGCACACATATGGCTCTTAAAAACAATGCCAGATGGTGATCTTGGAGAAATACATGAGTAAGAATGGAATCCTGGCATTCAGATGTCCCTTAAGCTAACTTGCTCCCCAAAGAGAGCTCTGGAAGCACCAGAGTCTAGAAAGATTGACACTCGTCCTCAGAAACTGTTTGGCCATGTTTCTAAAAGCGCTCAACGCAGTGAAACAGATAGCGTCTTCAGTTCAAGTCTCTGTTTCTCGGGGTTAGCCCCGCATTTGCTCAGCAGGGGTGTCGAAGCGTCAAACATAGCCAGATAAAAATGGGTGGTGGATGCTAAGGTCAAAAAAGGCCAAAGTGGAAGCGAGGTCTTTAATTCCCCCACCTGCCCATCCCACCCCCACAAGTGGGTGAAAGGTTTGTTGGCCAGATATGACCAGAGACTGAAATCAGCTTGGGAGATTTAGTTTAAATACACCAGCAGAAGGACCAGTGACTGCATTTCTGTTCATGATAGATGCAAGCATAATCCACAGATTATGTCAAAGGAAAATCAAAAGCACATTATACTTAAATGAATCTTGGAGAAGGAAAGAAATCTAAGAAGCAGTATGTGCAGAGGGGAAGAGGAAAAAAAGATGCAATGATTATAGGGGAAAATAAAGTATAAAACAATTTGATTTTCCTTTTATATTATCTGAAGATTATGTTTATACCTTTCGTAAATTGAAACACATTTGCTGGTTTTTCTGCTGATGAATTTTAAATGAAGTTTCCAAACTGGTCAAATGTGGTCGCAACTCTCTCGCACACTGGGGGAACTTAAAGACCTCGCTTTTACAAGGAATTTAAAAAGTATGCTTCGTACCCAAGAAAATTATTCCATACGTATTGCCACAGTACCATCCTATGCTTCCTTAGGATAAAACTTGCATTTTATCTTGTATTTTATTCTGCGAACTGCCCTGAGATCCTTTGATGAAGGAAAGTGTATAAATTTAATAATAAATAAATAAATAAATAAATAAGATCCATAACTCAATGACAGAATATATGCTTTGTATGCATAAGATCCCAGCTTCAATCCCTAGCAAGTCCAGATATTATTATTAATATTATTATCATTATCATTTTTTTTTAATACCCCGCCTTTTTCCCTAACAGGACTCAAGGCTGCTTACAGATTAAAAACAAGGCCCACTAAAAGCAGGGGGGGAGGGAAGCATCATTAAAAAGCAATTAAACATTGACAAAATTAAAACTATATACATTTATAACATCTATTAAAACCATACAAATAATAACAATAAAAACAGCATAACACCAGCCCCCTCATTTAAAGCAGTCAGTTTCCCAAAACCTGCTGAAACAAGAAAATCTTCATCTGCCGGTAGAAGGACAGCAATAGGCGAGCCGATCTAGCTTCTTTGGAAAGGAAGTTCTAAAGTCTGGGAGCTACCACTGAGAAGGCTCTCTCCCACTTGCCTACCAAGCATGCCTGTGAGGATGGTGGGACCGAGAGGAAGGCCTTTCCCGAAGATCTCAAAACCCAGGCAGGTTCATATGGGGAAACACAGTCTTTCAGATAGCTTGGACCTAAGCACTGTACAGCTTTATAGGTCATAACCAGCACTTTGATTTGTGTCCAGAAACAGACAGGTAGCCAGTTGGGCTGTTGTTGCAGAGATGGCTGGGAGAAATCCCTGCAAGAAATCTTGGGGAGCCTCTGCCAGTCAGTGCAGACAGTACTGAGCCAAATGCACTAATGGTCTTATCCAGTACAGTGGTACCTCGGGTTACATACGCTTCAGGTTACATACGCTTCAGGTTACAAACTCCGCTAACCCAGAAATAGTACCTCGGGTTAAGAACTTTGCTTCAGGATGGGAATAGAAATCGTGCTCCGGCGGCGCGGCGGCAGCGGGAGGCCCCATTAGCGAAAGTGGTGCTTCAGGTTAAGAACAGTTTCAGGTTAAGAATAGACCTCCGGAACGAATTAAGTACTTAACCCGAGGTACCACTGTATATGGCATATTCCTATGCATGTGTACTCAGAGGTCAGTCCAAATGAAGTCAGTGGAAGTACCGGTAACTTGCAGGCAGGTGTGTACAGAATAGCAGCCTTGACTTACCAATGTTTAGGAAAATCATTGCACAAATACTAATAAGCAGTGGTGTTGTTTATATAGCGCCACGTCTGTGAGACATCGCTTTCAAGGAACGAGTCTGACAGCTTCCTATCTCAAGGGGTTTACAATCTACGAAGATATACACAAGGGAAACAGGAAGGGGAGGTAACGCAGAGGCAGGAGCAAACAGGAAAGCAATATGAAATTATGTTAGTTACAAATTATTGCCACTGGAGCAGCCTTCTACAGACTGGTGCCCTCTAGAAGTTGTTGGACTACAACACCCATCAGGCCAGGCCAACATGGCCAATGGTCAGGAATAAAGGGAGTTGTAGTCCAAAACACCTAGAGCAGGGTTTCCAGCTGTTTTGGGACTACAACTCCCATCATCCCTAGTTAACAGGACCAGTGGTCAGGGATGATGGGAATTGTAGTCCAAAACAGTTGGAGGCCCAAGTTTGGGAAACCCTGATCTAGAGGGTACCATTCTGGGGAAGCCTGGGCTATAGGACTGTTCCAAATACTTCCTGGAAAATGCAAGTTTTGAGGAAGGATTTGAAGGAAGGAAGAGAGAGGTGGTCGCAAAGAGGTGTTTCGGGAATATGGGGCAGGAAACATAAAGTAATTTCAAGGAAACAGAATTATTTGGATAGCTAAGGGATGAGCCAAGATCACAGGAAATGATGTGTTAACAGGGGAGAGATACAGAGGGCAAAGCCATGAAGGGTTTTGAAAGTCAGGATCACAAGCTTGTGCA